TGCAGTTCTCACAACATTCGTGAATTAACCAATCAGAGAATCGCTACTCCACGCTATTGAAAACAACAACATATGTGAACAGAATTTGATCGCGAATTCGCGAAAATATACACCGAATATACAGGGACTTTTTCGATAAGATATACGAAATTTGAAATGGAAAACCCGCTGAACAGAGAGCCAAAGTAATTTTGAAGATACTCGAGCTGAATATGTGAAGATTGCGAAGCGTTTGATCAACTTTGAAGCGAGAGATGTACTTGGATGCCGTGGTCTGATGAATTTCAACACTTATGCGTTGCTACTTGCTGAATAGCAATGTATCGACCAGAAATTTATTCATACAACTAAACCAACGTCTCAATAATTGGAAACTTACTTCAAAGTTGAAAGGTATCGTACAATGAAACTTTACAATGCGAGTATATTTGTAAAATTATGTGCAAGAATTTCTGTTCAGAATTTCCCGTGCAGGATTGTCTGATCCTGCACGGCTGTTGACCAATCAAATTGCGTGTTTCACTGCAGTTATTATATAATACATTTTTCAGATCAGAAAGATTGTCACAGAAAAAAGGCCAAGGCATATAAACCAAACATCTTTATCATACAGAAAAGTCGAGGCAGAGGGTGATACATATTGCCCATTCCATAAAAGTCTGTTAGCAAAAGCTGCCGTACAAGTTGGACGAGAAGCAAACGACACAAGTTACTTTTTGCAGGATGATGGCAGGTCAAGAAAGCAGAAATGTTTCACCATTCCTTTTTCTGTCTTCACCGTTGCCATACAAGAAAAACTTGTCCAAGGTACAAATCTGCATATCTTAATAATTAAATGTTTTCTACAGCAGTAAGGGACTATATGGTTGACACTGAAGAGAAATAGTTTGCATATCACAGATTTTTGAGGAAAGAAATAATATTGCAAAAAAGCTGGAGCAAGTAAAAAATAAGTTTTCCACATTGTCATTGTGATTAAATCTAGTCCAGAAAGATTCATAATTAAGTAAAAAATATGATATGAAAGTGAAATTTTTTTTTTTTTTTGGGGGGGGTCACAAAAAGACTCAGTTTTTAAGTAAAAACTGTGATTCTTTATAGGAAGTAAAACCACCTAAAAAATATAAGCAATGCATGTATATTAATTATACTGACACTTAGTTTTGGCATGCTCTTAATATGTTTAATATATTTTTTTTCTTATTAGTTGTTCGAAATTCACGTATTACTATTCAACACAAGGCAAAGACTCAGCCACAAGGTACAGATAATCAACAGAGCATGATGGGGAAACTGAAGAGCAATGTAACTATTTTTACTTTGTATCTGTATAACTTTTGTGATAGGATGACCCCACAGAGAAGATTGTGTTATCAGTGTTGCAAAGTGAACTTCCAAGGGTAAAAATCCCATATTAATTAAGACTCTGAAAAATCCCAAGATAACTGATTCCCATTTTTTTCTCAAAAAATCTCTAGCCCAAGGGATCCTGACTGTTCCGAAAAGGAGACTCAAGAGATGACTGCAGTATTTTCGAAATAAAATCAAATCAAAATGGATTGCATGTATTCAAAAATATCTAGATTTTATAAATATTTGCAAGATAAATACTTTTTTATTTTGGCACAATAATTAAAGGATAAAACAAGTAAACCACTAATGAAAGAAAGTTTTCAGTTGTATTATTCACAACTACAATTCCTGTGCTATAAAGCCTTTTTTCAATAATTCTTTAATTTTAATATGAAAAATCGCAGGGATATCCCAAGGATGAATTTCTGAAAAGAAATCGCCCAAAAATCCAAACTGCATTAAAAATAATCCCGAGATCCTGGCTTTGGGATAAGATCCTGAAGTTGGTAACGCTGTTCTATGTAGAATAACCCACAGCGCATTGTGGGAAAATGAGTGCCCAGTACTAATATCAAATTCAATTACAGTCCTAGATGACACCACACTACCACTACCACTACCACCAGTATTCGATGATGGGGAAACCGAAGAGCAATGTAACTATTTTTACTTTGTATCTGTATAACTTGTGATATAGGATGACCCTACGGCTACAGAGAAGACTACTAGATTGTGTAGGAGCCTAATTAATGTATTTTTTGTTCAGAAAGTTCGAAAAAGGTTGAAGACAATTTTCTTGCTGTACCGCCATTTATGCTTAACTTGAATCAGTTCTTGTTTCTCTGATGCCCACTCACTGGTGGTTTATATACTGCAAATTAATATTGCTATAACAATTGCATGTATATGTTTAGTTTTGGCATTTGTAAGCATTTTTATACGATTATATTTTCCTTTTAGCCGTTGAAAAGTCACGTCATAAAAGAGGCATTTCCGAAGTCGCAAGTCCCATTGTCATTGAACATGAGCCAAAAACTCGACGGCAAGGTACAATGTCAACGGCGTATGATTACGTTTATATTACTATATACTTGTAATTATGGAATCTTGAATTCTGTTTACTACTGTTTTAAACCGACCATATCATATTCACTGATAATGTTCGTTTCAAATTTGATTAAATATGATATTGTTGTTATTTGTGCTTTTTTGTTGTTATTGTTGTTTTCTTTATTCAAATATAAATATATACGTCATTAATCGTTATAGAAGAACCCACAGACACAGAGCATTATGATCAGAAAACGAATGGTACTCGTAGAGTCGTAGTCGTAGATGAGCCGCCTAGTGCTGGAGGAGTCGTAGTCGTAGATGAGCCATCTAGTGCTGGAGGAGTCGTAGTCGTAGATGAGCCGTCTAGTGCTGGAGAGGAAAAGGACACCGCATCACCAGCAGATAGAACTGAAACCGAAGAGGAAGATTAAAGTAATATAGATCTAACCATAGACTATTTTTACATTGTGTCTGTACTTATTACTTTTGTGACAGCAAGTATTTTTGATATTTACTATGACATATCAACCACGAAGATTCAACTATCAAAATACGTCAAACACAACTAAAACATTGCATGTGTCTTTCATGATTATATAGAGTCGTGGATGCGTATCTTAAACTTGACTGGAGATGACATATGTGTACTTACATCAGGAAAAATGCTTACCGATAAACATATAAATGCTGCGCGAAAAATCCTTGTTAAAGAATTTCCTCAGACAGTTGCAAGATTTCAAAATCCGTTACTATCGCAAAAGAACTTGTTTAGATCAATTCCGCCAAAAACAAAATCCATACAAATACATCATGTCTGCACCAACCACTGGATACTATCCACAACAATGAAAGGTTGTGTTGAAGTGTTTGACAGTGTGTATAGCGATCTTAGCCCTGATACGAATATCCAGCTTTCCACAATATATACGAACTTCACGAACAATGATGTTTTAGAAGTGGAAGTTGTCCCTGGCCAGCACCAGAGTGGATCGGTGGATTGTGGACTCTTCGCGATTGCTTGGGCTTACGAATTAGCCAACGGACACAGACCTGAACATGTTATGCTTGAACAGTCGAAGATGCGATCGCATCTCTTGGCTTGCTTTCAGAAACAAAAGATTAATCGCTTTCCAGTAGCAAATTAATAATTGGTTATGAAACCACGTCACATGGCCAAGGGGCTTTCTATTTTGCACTATGGAATATTAATAGTTGTGCATGGTTTAAAATTTCCCGTCTTATCATTTTCATAAACATTCGTTGTGGCGAATGGGTCTAATGCTAGAAATGGAATAATTGTCCCAGACATAGGAATTAAATTTAACAGCAAAGCCAAAGAGCATGAATTCGAAATTTCCAAATAATTAATGCATGACTATCTTATTAGGACGTAAGACATCTAAGCAGCAAAGAGAGTTGAAGAACCTTACAGACGCCTTGTCCAGCAGAGAAAAAACAATTGGAAGTACAAGGGCTTGTCGACGTGAACATATGGACAAGTAATACTATCATGGCCAATAAACTCTATATATAATATTCTATTACTAAATTCGATTATTCGAGGGACAAATCACTCATAAGTCATAGAAATTGTACGAGACGTTTAAACTTTCGAAAGTCGGCACATTTTATAAATTTTGTCTGACGTTTTGGGACTCTTTGTCTGTCTAGTTAATAAACAATATTTTTTATCATTCTCATGTTCTGGCATTCTGAGCTACCTAAATATCACAGTAAAATGCAATTATATTTTCCTGAATAAGTAAAAAAAATGTTGGAAATATCTGTTCCAGAGCAGAATCCATATTAAGGTGGCTCGAGCACTTATGGACTTTTCGTCAAAATTTTTTCTGTTATAATGTATTAATGGAACATATATTGTCATTAATTTAATAGGTTACAGTAAATTGGTTTATTATTATCAGTCTGAAACTTTGTTTGTTTTTTTCAGTCTGTGTGGGTGTTAATTCTTGTGCGCATGAGAAAGCATGAGATTCTAGCTTCACCATCTTTTTCACTTACTGTGAATGTCAATCCAGCGAATGGCATACTGCATGTATGCCTTTCAAGAAACATTCTCTCAGAGTCGTCTGTGAATTTCACACAAGAAGAATTATGTTCATGTTTTGTCTCAAGACGAACAAATCGTCTTAAAATCGTCTTTTAGTCTGACAAATCATCAGATGTGAAAACGTTCGGACAAAATTTTAGACGAACAAGTGTGACGACAATTTTTGAGGGACGATTTTTTGTCTAGACGACTTGTCCGTCTCCAATGTGAATAGGGCTAATGATGAACCACAAGATTATGCTAGATGCCTCTCATTCTCATATAATTATGTTCTTGTAGTTGTATAAAGTCACACACTTTTAGCAAAATCTGGCAACTACACTGAAAAAATGATGCACCAATTTGTAGTTTACAATACTCAATAGCGAGTTCGCTTCAATATAATGAGAACCCTTTTTCTTCAAGAATATTGTTAAGACACTTACGATATATCACGAAATTTCTCGACCTTGCTAATAGAAGTGAAATTATATTATACATTATTACATTACTTAAATCTTCAAATCAAATCAATCTTCAAAAGTCAAACAAATCAAATCTAGGCGAAAGGGAGCATGATTGGCAGTTAAAATTAATTATACTCGAGCACTGAACACCATCCTCGTTCCCAGGGCTTCTCGGGTGCCTGCTGGTTGCCGTAAGCTTACGGCATTGAACTATAAGTAAACTGGAACGATAAGTTCGCCGCCATCTTTGAAGCCGGCCATGAGTGTTTTCTGCAGGTAGCCCCAGTCCTTTTGAATTTTTTTTTTCAAAATTTGCACATTTTTGGATCAGAAAAATCTGAATTAATATTAGTTTATTTATAGTTCAATGGCTTACGGCAACGCAGGCAGCCGAGAAGCCCTGGGAACGAATAAAATATAGACTGATCAAGGGTTAACGAAAAATGAATGCAATTGCAAATATATTGTTTAAAAAAGAACCAGCGCGACATGCACAGGGACACCGGAACGATGTGAAGGCAAAGGGGGCAGATTTTCGTGAAAGGGCACTTTTGAATTGATATATTGACTAAGAGATGTTTGCAAAACATCGGTTGAACTTCGCCTAATCATGTTTTCTATTTATTGGATGATAGGGGTTTGATGGGGTTCTCCGCCAGGCGATCGTGCTATTCCTCAAGCTCGATGACTGCATTTCTTGCGTTTTCTGAAGAAATTCGTAAAAGAATTGCACTGAAAATTCGCTAATTGCACTGACAATTTCTGACAATTCCGCGCTATTTCGCCAAGGCAATCCTTTAAATTGAAAGGGCACCTTCCCCCCCCTTTCCCCTCCTGGTAAAGGGCAACGGGGGCCGCTGCCCCTCCTGCCCCCCCCCCTCCCCTCAGTTCCGGCGTCCCTGAGGGCACACTCAGTCATTCGACGAAACGACAAAAAAAAAGATCTAGCTTGGTGTTATAGTCTGTAGAGATCTCAAGTGGAGCCTTAATGTCCAAGCGGTCTCAAATAAGGTCAACAAAATGTTGAGGTTCGTGAAAAGATTGTGTTTATATGCAAGTGACCCTAAAGAGTAAAATACGAAAGACCCTGTATAATAAGAAGTACTACTTCTTACCCTAGTAAGAAGCCAGCTTGGTTACTGTAGCCAAGTGTGGGCTCATTCTTCATATTACTAAATAAAAAACAGTAACCTTTCAAAACAGTTTTTATATCAGAACCATAGAACTACATAACCATAAAACCATCAGAACCATAGAACTAAAGAACTGTAGAACTATAAACTAGAGTACCATAGAACTACAGAACCATAAAACTATAGAATCATAGAACTATAGAATCATAGAATCATAGAATCATAGAACCATAGAACTATAGAACTCTAGAACCATAGAACTATAGAACCATAGAACAATAGTACTATAGAACCATAGAACCATAGAACTATAGAACTAGAACCATAGAACCATAGAACCCGAGAACTATAGAACCATAGAACCCTAGAACCCGAGAACTAGAACTATAGAACCATAGAACTATAGAACCATAGAACCATAGAACCATAGAACCATAGAACCATAGAATTATAGAACTATAGAACCATAGAACCATAGAACCATAGAACCATAGAACCATAGAACTATACAACTATAGAACCATAGAACCATAGTACCATAGAACCATAGAACCCTAGAACCATAGTACCCTAGAACCATAGAACCACAGAACCATAGAACCATAATACCCTAGAACCATAGAACCATAGAACCCTAGAACCCTAGTACCATAGAACCATAGTACCATAGTACCATAGAACCATAGTACTATAGTACCATAGAACTGTTACGTATATAGGAGACTGGTGACTACTATAATTCGTGACTGTGTGACATGAAAATATAACCCAAAATGTGCATGCTTGGACTCCATTTCTGGCCATGCATAGCCGGCCTGACAATTTGGTCATACTATGCAACCACAAAAGACCTAAGACTATAACTTAGATTACATCACCACAACATGTACGCCAATCCATGCTGCGATGAATCTCTGGACTTCATCCCTGTATAAATCTCAAAGTCACAAGTATAACCATTAGAACTGTCCATAGCAACCTACAGATTTATCCCCCACTTAGTAGGCTTATCTTTCATAAACTGCCTAATCCCTGGCCTGTTCCTTGATTTGACCATGCGTTCGTCAACAGACAACAGCAATATTCTGCGATGGCTGGTACAGTTGTTGATGCAGTTTATTGCTGGGGTCTTCAGTGACAGGGTCCACCACATTCCGAAAAGCTATAAGGGCATTGTACCTAAACCAAGAAATTATTTCTGTTTCCCACAGACCATTCTATAATGTTTTTACACTCCAATAATTTTCAATCTCACTTTCGACCTTTACCAAACCTTCAAATACTAAAAAGGCAATCAACCTCTCAATCTCCTCAAGGTTGGTGGACATCCAAGACCCTTCTTTTTTAGTATACGAGGATGATTTGGGGGTAATTTGTATGTGGGCATATGTATTGGTATGGGCAACTACCTCCTGAAGCATTTCCTTAGTGAAAAAGAGCCAAAAGAATTGAAGCTCACAATTCATTCTTTGGTGAAAGCTTGATCAAAATGGATCCCGACATGTCAGTGAGGGGCAAAATCTGGGACATTCCATTGTTACTAGCACTATCAGTTTGCAAATTAAGGTCAAGAAACGTCTTGACAATTGAGAAATGCCATTCTTACAATGTGACAATACATTACAACGCTCCAAGCAGGAAAATTGCCATACGAGGTTTGTTTTTCTGCCTAATTCTGAAAATTGCCATACAAGGTTTGTTTTTCTGTATCTAGGTAAAGAAAAAACACTTGGCGCCCGAACACTTTCTGACCACAAGAATCGCCATAATAGGCATAGATTATTTTGCAATTTCCCGGGACTGCTCGGAGCTATAGAATGCAAGATGGCAATTCTTTTAGTATATTGTACGTTGAAAAGAAGCAAAGATACAAGCTGTTGAACACGCACGAAAGCGCACGATGCGACAGCGAAATTGGTAATGTGTCATTTGCATAAATTTCACCACAGTTATTGTTTCAAGGTAAGAAATTCACTATAAATTAGGCGAGAAACAATAAAATTATACGAATATTTCAGAATATATAGTATCGGACAAGCGGAATTTTTTGGTGGTATTTTCGTATTTCTACTGCAAATACTCGCGGAGTTCTTTAATATTTAATCTTCCCGTCATATACGTTAGAATTCAATATTGGTGGATCGAATTGAGTTAAGTAAAAACAGTTCATCAGCAAAATAGAAGTATTATATAACACATATGAATATATATAATTATATTTACAAAAACATGTTAAATTAAATCTAGTTGTAAAAAGTACTTTTTAATTATTGATTTGAAGGAAGCATAAGACCTAGGTTCTTTATTTTTTGTGGGAAGATTATTCCACACATCTATGCCTTTATTGGCAAGAGTATGTTTGGTGTAGTTTGTTCTATTACTCCTTTTGTGTAGCAACAAAGAATTTCTTGTGTTATGATTATGAATTCGCTTATTTGTCAAGAAATAGTTAAAAATTCTGGTAGATTCTGTAGATGAAAATACCAGAACATCAA